GGATTGGAAGAAACCTTAAAGAACACCTAGCTCCAGCTCCCCTGCCATGGGCAGGGATGCCACCCACCAAACCACTTTGGCCAAAGCACCCTCCTCCAATCAGGTCTGGAGTTATTGTAGCTGAATTCTGCCATCATTTCCCATGTGATTAAATATTGTCATACTCTGATTAGATGCATTGTTACCCCAGTATTTTTTAACTCATGGTAAGATGCATTATTACAAATAATATTCTTCTGTCACACTGCATTTCATTCAATTAAAATTGCTTGCATTTTAATTATGAATATGACAATTCCTTGGTGTGGTACTTATACTTTTTAACATAGTTTTAAATAATTCTGCTCCCTTCATTCAAAATTTTTAGATCTTCACTAGAGAATTACTTGTAAATGTTGAAAACTTCCAAGTTGCTGTACATTTTTATCAGCATCCTTTGTGGCTTAGTTGGTACAGAAGTAGTGGTTTCAAATATGGCACTGAAAGAGTTAGATCAGCTGTGCAGTCTGATTAATAAAATCTGGAGGATATTTCTGGTTTATGAATAACTTTTACTCAAGTGGAAAGACACTTTACTCCTGTACTTCTGACAGTGGCAGGCTGTAGAACCACCCTGTTCTTTGAGATTTTTTTCAGTGCAGACCATCTCCTTTTACTGTCTCACTAATGATTATTCAACTTACTTAATATCTTCCATGTCAATCTACTTTAAGCAAAGAACCTTGTGATCCTGAGATGCTGCTTACGAGGTTTTGTAAGAACTTTTGTCTTCATGCTCCTTCTGAAGGTGTTTCAGCAGCAAAGTTTCTGGTGTGCCTAGTAACCCTGTGTCTGTCCTTGGTGTTAAACTGATCAGCAGCTTTGGGATTAGGAGGAAATTTTTCTGCATGGCACACAGGAAGGGGTAGTTGTTTGAGGTTTTTCCATGCTTCGGATGCTTCTGAGAATTTTCTATGCTTTTGAAGTGAGCAGTGTGATGGTGATGACTTGCCCCTCTCCTGCTATATTCTTCTGATGTGCTGCAGTTGTGGCCTTAGCCCTTACATTGATGAGACGTTCTCATTCTGCACCTGATGGTGTATGAGGAACTGAAATTTCCAAGACCATGAGTATTGCCTGGTGCTAGGAGAATCACACCTTGGAAAACCCTAAAAGAGGACCTCTCATTTTGCTCCTGTTTGGTTGTCATTGCTGGAGGTGATCAGACATGTCCCCTGGAGGCATGCCATTCTGAAGGATCCCCTCTCTGCCTTAGTTCGACTCCTAATTTAGGTGCTGCAGGCTGGAAGTAATGTTCCCTAGAGCTTCTTTAGTCTGTGGAGTGCAACATGAACTGTTGCAGGGCAAAATAGGTTATTCTTTATGGAGAGTTATTTTCTCTTCTGACCATCCAAGCAACTCTGTGAGACCTCTTAGGCATCTTGCAGCCTCTGAAGTTATGGAGTATGAATACTTCACTCTTTATTTGATGCCCAATGTTTAATGACTGACTGCAGCACTCTTTTAATGGTTCTGGCTTCACATGCAGAGCCAGAAAGAGCATTTGTTATTTTAGAAGTTAATTTTGTCAGGGAAACAAAAAATGTTTGTTGTAACTCAGTGACATTAACATAGAATTTTAGAATATGAAATAAAAACAGCTGTTTCCAATGGAAGCAGAGGACACTAACACAGAAATTAGATGAGTGATATATGCCCTAGGAAAAGTATTGTTTTCAGCATGAGAGTGTACAGCTCGCACTTGTTTATCCTGTGTCTCAATCTCTATTAGCTTGCAGCATTACCACAATTCAATTAGCAGCCTTTTCAACATGGCTTTTTTTTTCTGTTGGTGCATTATGCACCTGTATCTGCTCAATAATAATTTATGAGAGGTGGAGAGGGGCATGTGTGTGAGGGGGTTTGTTGTGGTGGTTTTCTGGTGTGTGTTTTGTTTGTAATTTTTTGTGCTTACCGGTAGGCCTGGGAACAGTGGTTTTTTGTTTGTTTGGGTTTTGTGGTTTTTTGGGGAGGTTTTTGTTTTTGTTTGTTTGTTTACTTAGGTTTTTGGGGTTTTTTTTTTGTTTGCTTGGGTTTGTTGTTTTGGTTTTTTTTTTTTTTTTTTTTTTTTTGGTTAGAGTATTTTTAATGAAGATTCTTTTGTAAGTTGGGTACTTAGAGCTTTACTGAGGAAGCAGCCTGGGGACTGAATGCTTCCTCAATACATGAGCAGAGCACCCCACTTGCCAGTTTTGCCAAGCTGTCACATCAGCAATAAAGGTACTTGCTAAATAAATATAAAAGATAATAAAACACTTTTATTAGTAATGAGAAATGCTTTTCATGGGAGAAACTGAGTAAACAATGACTTGATTTTAATATTAATTAAATCAAGTGATTTTTGACACATCTTTAAGACCTGAAAGTATATAATATATGATAAAACAGTGACATAGTCAATTTTATGTATTATACCAGTGGTGCAGTGTTGTTTAGAAGAAATAAAACAATTCTCACTTTAATGCTTCTAATTTTAGGCTAGCCTGGCTTTGCATGTTAACAGCATTTTTCTCCAACTTCTCAGTCTGCTCTCTCTCGTCAATGCCATCTGCTTGCTTGCTTCACCACCTCTTTAACAACCAGGTGATTTTTGCCACCTTCACCCTCCTCCTCAGTATGCCCAGCAGCCCCATTTGGGTTTATGGGGTTAGTGTGCTAAGCAATATTCATATATTTATGTAAACACACTCCTGATTCTAAAGAACCTTTCTCCATTTCTAGCTCAATAGCTTCTAAATCTTCCTCTGCTGGGGCATACAGCTCTGAATTATTTCACTGGTGTGTAATCTCTTGTTATGCCAGCTGGTTTTGTTGATCTGTAATGTATTCATTTATCCAGTAGGTTCTACTGTAGCAAAGCACTTAATTTTAAGAGTGCAGGTAGACTTGGCGTGAAAAGAATGTAATTAGCTCAAAGCTAAGCACTTGCCTAAATGCTTTGCTGGATTTGAGGCTTAGGAAAGAGATGAAAAGATTGGTCTAATTATGTTGAATTTGTTTTAGAGCTGCTTTATCCTAATAGCCTTATCACCAGACCACTTCTGATTATGGATTTTCGGTGTAGAAGATTTTTCACATCTTGTCAGGCTTTTCATAGAATCTCTCTCTGGTTTTTTTGAACTGTAATCTTCAGCGTGGCTTGCATAAGAAAATGTATCACTGCCTCTTAGGAAAGTGACTTAGGGAGGCCATGTCTTAAAAAATTGGACGTTGAAGGCAATGAAAAACTCATGTCACCAGTTCATTTGATTTTCACATACGAGATGTGCAAAATATTTATTCTTTAGGCTACTGCAAGTTCAGACTGCCGAAGCCTAAAGAATAAAGGTGTCAGTGAGACCAGATAGACCAAAAAAAGAGAGGGAAATAGATAAAACAAATTACATTAGTTAAATTCTGCTCTGCCATTAATTTGGGCTGAGCAATTGTTAGAACTATTGGGGGAAAAAAGAAGGATGTCAACCACTGAAAATAAAAAGTGAAGAATTTTCTGGCTCTTACCTGCTGGTGTTTGCTTTCTTCCATTCCTAAAATCTGTGTGTCCTCGCTCTCATAGATGCTGGGGTTTATTTTAGGATTTGGTTTAACTCATGGTCACTGAAAAATCGCTCTAAATCTAAAGCTGCAAGAATTGCTGCTACTGCTTCCTCCAGACAGGCTTAGCTGGACTGGGGTTTTGCTTTTCCCAGTGCTGTGTGGCTGGGGCATGAGGCATTACTGAGACCAGAAAACAATGTAGTAGCCCCAGGTGTTTTCAAAGAAAAGGACATTTGTTGAGCTGCCTTTGAACATCCTTCCTCTTCTGCAGTGTTTAGTTTGGATGCCTTGAAGCTCATGAGGGAATTCCCACTGTGCAGTTTCCTGTGTGTTATTTTTCAGAGGTTGGGCTATACTGTGCTTCTCTTTCCCCACTTGTTCCTGCTTACTCCTGTATGAATTTTTGGCACCTTTATCAAGGATGGCACTTGGGGAAATGCTTAATTTGAATGCACTGCCTAGGCACAAAGATAGAAATGGGTTTAGATACTGTTGAAAAAGTGTGAGTTGAGGCAGATGTTTAGTGCTTTCGAAGCTGCAAACTACATAAGTGCTTTCTCAGAAAGACTATTCATCGTTGTTTTTCACAATATGTATCATGATAGGGAGAAGGAGGAGAAAAGGACACACATAGTGATAGGTTTGTAACAGCTTCTCTGGGCAGTAGGGAGTCCCAGGCTTTTGCATTCCTTCTGTTTTTAACAGGCTCAGGACACACTAGTGGGTAGTGAGAAGCTCCCAGCTGTTTGCAGCTCTGTCCTGCCTTGTTGTGAGCCCTTGTCCACTTTGTCTCTTTTTGCTTCCATGTCTGTTTAAAATACAAAGGCTGCTGAGGTGAGGACTGGCTCTTGCTCTGTCTTTGACCCTGCCTGCCAAACCCAGGGGACTTGTTCGCCTCTGGCATCTCAAAATGTGTATGTAATACAAGGAATTGTTAGGAAATTTCTCTCTTGTCACTCAGTCATCTACAATTTGGGATTCTCAGTGTACTGGGGACTGACTCCATCATCAGTGTGACAAAGTCTGACAGTTCTGTGGACAGTTTCAGGTTCTCTGTGCAGATAACACTGGTATTTTCAGTGATGGTTTAGGTGCTGGAAACTTGACCTTGTCCACCTTGTGGACACTGTTGAAAGGTCTCAGAAGAGTCTCAAATGAAAAATTCAGACAGAAGCCTGCAGTTCCAGAAGAGCATTGGAAATGACGGCTTGATGTCCATACAGCTTTTATCACCATGGGTTGTCTTTTTCCTTTCCAATATGTGTCAGCACAGGGTTTGCACTGGTTCTGGTAGTACATGAGAATGCAAGTGGACTAAGGGATGTCAGCCTTAATTTGCAGATGTGGTCAGCTGCGTCCTTAGCTATGGAGCTGTATGCATAATGCTTTCTGCCTGACATCAGTTTTCTTTTTGTCTTTTGCAGCACTTTTACAGGCTGTCATATCTGGTGATCTACTGAAGGTAGGTAAAGAGCACAGAGTGTCCACTCAGTTTTTTGCTGATCAGATATACTGTACATTTTATTACACTTCTGCTCAAATCACAAATAGGCTGCTGTGGGAACTTCTGGCAAGTGCTATTTTACAGCCTTTCCAGGAAACCCTGAACACTAGGGGAACACATCACTACGGTGAGGTGTGAAATTTGTGTGAATAGGATCTGGTGTTAGCCAGAGCCTTTTCGCCCAGGAATCAGAGCCCACTGCATAGAACAATGTGCCAGTCACTAACAGGGAAATTGCTATATTGGCAGTGTTGAACAGCAGGGTAGCTCTGACACAGCCTTACACAGGAAAGCATATTTTCCACCAGTGAGGCTGGTGGCCAACACCCCAAGTGCTACCTTATTCAAAGTCTACCTAGGCAACCACCAGACCAGGTAGAACAAATCTCAGCTGGTGGTTTTATCACCTGGTGGATGTCTCGAAACATGTAGTGCCTTGGTGCAGCAAGTTTGGGAGGCAAAACTACTCATGCAAAATTTTTTGTGCCAATGACTGCAGTCCCACACCAGACAGCCATTCAGGCTGCCTGTCTCAGTAGCCAAGTCAGGATCTGAAAACATGCTCTTGAATTTGGATGAGGACTGTGATTAATGATTGCAATTTCATCTGTGGGAAGCCAGCTTGGAGCCATTTGTAAAAATGACAGTGCTGTTAGGCCAACTTTTTGCCTGCAGGTATTTTGCCTCCCTTCTATACCACTGCCTCAGCTCTTGTGGCTGCAGCATCTAGGGAGCAGTCCTTCAAGCAGTGATAAAAATATTGTCTCCTTTACAATTCTTGAAAATGTTTTGCCTGAGCTGGCTTTGATGGGGAAACTCCTTGTCCTTCTTCAGTGTACTGCATTATAAATGAGTCCTCACTGTAGCAATTCTCTCCTTTTTCTGCAGAGATCTGCAGAATCCCACCCCCCTTCCCCAAATTTTGCAGCATTTCTGAGACATGCCTGGTTGCTGTTTTCTCTTATTCTTACCCCATGTATTGCTCCGTCTTTGGCCAGCGCTGAACGGGGGGCACTGTGACAAGGGAGGTCCATGACAGTCACCTAATCTCCTTGTAGAATTTTGAATTGGAGTTTCCTGATTTAGTCAGAAAATATTTGACTCCTGTGCTGAGGAAAAATGTGAGTCTTCAGCAAAGAAGCCAGAACATTTTATCAAATACATATATTTTAATATATCCCAACAGTGTTACCAGATGTGGTTTGCAAGCATTCCTAGCAAGCAATAAATCATCACCAGTAGAGTAGCAATGTCTCATTGTTTAGGAAATACGGACTGTTCTCCTTAACACATATAATTGTCAATACTTCTGGTTTCAGATGTTTTATATCAGGGCCTAAAAGCTGGCTTTAAATTAATGTTTTATTTTATTCTATTCTATTTTATACTAACTTACAATGAGAAGCAGTAAAGAACTTACATATTTGTTTTTCTCCTCCTCCCATCTTATCCTTCTGTATGTTTTTTTTCTCTTTTTTTATATTTTTTCCTTCTAGTTCATAGAATGTTGTAAAAAAGGAGCCAATTTGTTAATCCAAGGACCTGATCACTGCTCCTTATTGCACCACGCTGCCAAGACTGGGAATGGTGAGATTGTGAAATACATCCTGGAGCATGGTGAGTCCCAGGGGCAGACCCACAGAGAGCTGTAGCTCAGCCAAGTGTCACTCAGGCAAAACCACACAGGGCTGCTGCAGGTGGCCTCACTTATCTGTGGTGTCCCTCAGTGCAATGTCCACCTGCAGCCTGTGTGAGCAGGAGGCTGGGAATGGGGTAGCAATGAGAGTGATGGCTCCACGCAAAGTGTGAAAAGAAGAATTGGAATCACTTTTGAGGAGGGTGGTGTTTCCATGTTTGCATCAGCTGTGAAGAGGCAGTGTGAAGCTTTAGTTAAAACCTCTGGCACAAGGATCCTCTGAATTGCTTTTCAATTAGAGCATATGTTGTAGAAAGCATCTAATCTCTATGAAACATTTACAGTGACAAAGAGCCCATAGAACCATTGTTATTATTTCAGCATTTAGTAACACACTGGTCAGGAATCTGCTTCCTTACATCTAGACAAATTCATCTAGCTTCCATTCCAGCCTTAGAATGTTATGTCTGTTAGATTCAAGACCACCCAACAGCAAAAACTTATGATGTCCATTTTGTATTTATGGACTGTGATCATGCTATTGCCCTTTTTTCCTTTTCTCTCTTCTTACCTTTGTCAGTAGATTAGAGGCTATGCAGCAATCCTTTTTGTGTCTGAGGCAGTCACATTTAGGAGCTTCTGCCTGTTGAACCACTGTAACCTTGTTCCCTCACTGCTGGAGAGTGGCACAGTAAAACAGTCACTGCTCTGCACATAGAGCTGAAGTCACAGTTATCATCCTCCTTCACTGTAGGAAAAGTTTTCTAGTCTGAACTCTTCTCTGACCCCACTTCAAAATATCAATGGCTATTTTGGCTTCTGGATGTCAAAATCAGCTACATTATTTCAGCAGCAGTGCAAGTGTGAACACAGAGACTGTCTCTGGTAATTAGAATAAGTGTTAGCTGTTGCTCCAAGGTATTGCACAAATTGTACAGAGAGAAGAAAAAAGCACAACTCCTAAGAAAGAAAGAGGCAACAATGCATCTCTTCACTCTTGACCCGTAAGTTAGTTATTAACATATAGGTGTCAGGTACTCTATAGGTACAAGTTCCTGTACTGTCAACAGCAATCTGTGACTTAGTTCATTTGCTCTGGTGTGGCAGAGGCACTTTTGGTGGCAGATGGAAGTGAGGAGGGAATCCTTAATAGCAGCAGGCTTCTGCCATGACTAACTCAAAGGACACCTTAGTCAAGGTAGTCATTGGAGAAAGTGATTCAGGAACAGTTACCTGTGCACTTTATTCATTTACATAAACATAAATGTCTAATGTCATTTGCCCTTGGATATCCAGGACATTTGCTTGGGTCTACAAGAGCACACAAGGCTCAGAGGAGGCCTGACCTGCACTGACAACCAAAGCCCAAGCAAGCATCTCTCTCATTCCAAGTGCATCCCAAGGCTTGCCCATAGGTATATCAAACAGCACAAAATATCTGTGTGTGGACTACTGAACCATGCCCCAAAAATCTGACTGAGAGGGGCTGAATTGTTATTTTACTCCTTTATGTATAGATACCTACACATGGATAGGGCAGTGCAGCTGGCCTTGTATCCAAATAATGATTGGTTTTCTCACCAGTTCTAGCAAACCTTACCAGTGCTGACTCTACCTTCTATTTACTGCTCTGGATTGTTGCATTAGTCACAGTGCACACATGTGCCACTGAATTCTGTAGACAGGCATAATTTTGCTTTATTTTCTTACTGCCCTTGGTCTCTTCTCACACTACACACGACCTGTGCAAATTCATCAATGCCTCTTTAGGATTTTTATTAGACACATAAAGTTTAGCTTAGTGACAGTCTGGCCCAGTTACTTTGATGAATATTTAAAGTGAGATAATTTAAACTGATAAGAATGTAAGCAGGGAATCCATGGGAATTTTGGAAGTAAATAGAGAAATGTGAGGGATTACGGACTGTTAGACAAAGACAAATCAGAAGGTTGAGCAAATGTCAGCTCGGTTCCTCTCTCCCTTCTTTATCCCCAAGGACGGCAGGAGGCTTTTGCAGCTTTCCAGACATATGTCCTCTGGGCTTCTCCAAATGCATTGTTTGTTTAACATTCTCTGGGGATCAGGGAGTGCATGGGACAATGCACAATCTAATAGAGGCCTCCTCTCTTCTCCCACCAAGCAATTAATGAAACTCATTTCTACTCTGGGCACTTCTCAGCCACAAACGAGCTCTCTTGCTGAATCATCATCATCATAATGCCCTTGTTTTTCTTTGCATTCTCTGGTATTTGGCATCTTCTCAGCATTAATTACTGTACATGACCTGATCCAATGCTACTAATATCTAAGGGTTTCCCTGCGTGGAGCTTCTTGTTTCTGCCAATATCCACCCATAAAAATTTCATAAAAATGAGTCTTCTGTTCTGGCAATTACCTCTGCCCAGTCACACTTCCTCTGGAGTTTGTCTGCTTCCCAATACACGGCTGAGGATAGTGAATGATTATAGAAGTTCTACTGTAAAATATCCTCAATCACACAGCAAAGAAAGTCTATTCTTAACCACACAGGGAAAGATCTTCTGAATATCTCTTAAAAAACAACTGCAACAAAAGAAGACAAAACCCACTGCTCCAGGAACTTTACCTTTCTGGTTTGAAAAACAGCGGGATGAATCCAATGCAGTACAGGAGTGGCACACATAGAACTAGAATTATAAAAGAAGGAAAATGGTGTAGTGGGGCTAAAGCTGTCCTTTATGGAGATGGCCTATTCCACAAACATGCAGGGCACATTTATAGGAAAGGTTATTCTGTGCTCATGATCAGAAGGATTTCAGATGTTAAGGGGAGGAAAATAACCTATCTTAAATTAGAAATAGCAGGGATGAGTCACACAGGGGGACTGCTGTGCAGTGCTGCCAGATAATTCACAGTGGCCCAGCACAAGGCTGGAATAGCAGCTGAAGCACCAGTGTAGTAGGTGTCAGGAAAACAGCAGCTTGCTGCTGCAGGAAGAGCTGTGCTGGCTGCTGCTCCAGCGCAGTAAACAGTTTCTATCCCCTGTGCAGGAAGGGCAGATACATAGACAGAGATCTATCACTCATTCAAGATTGCTCACCTAAAACAGAAGTGTTTCACTTTTATTAGAAGAGTCAGCTTTAAAAACTTGTCTGTAGCTGAGGTAAGAAATGCTTAGCTGGAAACTGAGGGCCAAACTCAGTAAGTATCACAACCACAGCTTTTTAATGCTGCGGTCAGCAACTGCATTGCATCCTAATGCCTGTACATTAGAGAAGAGTTGACTGTCTACTTGCTTAACATAAGCAGAATTAAGGAAGACTTGAGAACCTCTGTTAGCAAAGGGGCCTCCTAAACCATCTGTATTTGGTGTCAAACTTGGATTGGAGTCTTTATCTGGCAGCTGTGAAAATTTTTAATTTATAAACATTATACAAATAATTCCATTTGCCTTGTCTTTATCTTCTCTAGACATTCAAAAGACAAGCAAGAATTGTAAAGTTCATCTATGGTATTTTGATTTTAAACAGAAGAGAGGAAAGATGTTTACAGTTGCCTTAGGAGGTTGTGGTGGGAACTTCTGCTGCAACAGACAGTATGTAGGACATCCCATCCTTAGCATTTCTGTGTCCTCAAACCTCAATGTCCTTGCTTCACTAGAAAGCATCTCCTGATTAAAAAAAAGATGATGCTTTCATTAATCTTAGCATTGCAAAGTCCAGAGCTAAGAGACATAGTGATTCTGGATTTGCATCCTGGCCAGATTCAGAAGTTCCTTGGAAGGCTTTGGGAAAGGAAATTTTGCTGTGACAGAGGTGGGTGTTGGGGACAAAGTTTAAATAGTCATCAGAAACCAACACTGAATGAGAGTGAGTTTGCATGACACTTGGTATGTCTGGATTTGCAGAATGTTTTTAGGGTAGTGGTCATTTATGAGGGGCCTAAGCAGAAGACAGTTTAGTTTTTCTGGAAAGCACGAGGTACAACATAGCCTATTTTAATTTCAAGTGTACCAAATTATAGGGTAATGTGGCTGACAGACATGTAGGAAGGAATGCTCCCATAACCTGTTTCCACTGTAACCTCTATGTTACAGTGGAAATTCTGAGCTAAAAGACACTAGAAGAAAAGACCACTGTTAATTTTCTCATCAGGTAAAAAAAAAAAGAATGATGTTGGGGAAAGACTAGAAATACTTCTAAATTTCCAGTTTACTGTTATTTTACAAGTAGTCCTACTTTGGAAGTAAGGAGCCACATCCAGTTTTGTCCCCCAGATAATAACCTCAATCAGGTTATTAAACAAAGAGGGTTTTGACAGATAAACATCCAGAAATGTTGATGATTACTGCTTAGAGTAAATACCCTTCTTCTCTGGTTCTGTGAAGGACTGACAGCACACAGGACTGGCAGGGGTTAATATCCGTGGGTCTCCTGTGGGTAGCTGTAACCACATCCATTGGAGAGGGCTAAGCTGTGGGCTCAGAGGCCTTTCAAGAATGTGTGGAGCTGTATATTTTGGAAATGCCTCTGAAATATGGTCACTTAAAGTGTTGGGGTTTTTTTTTATTGCAGTGAGCTCAGTGAAGGAGCAGCTGCTTTTGAGTCTCCTTGCCTTCCCTCCTCCCATACCCAGCCCAGGCTGCTTTGCCTTCTGAGAAACTGGAGAAGGGCTTTGGTGGAGAGAAAGAGGGCAAAAGGAGAGAAGGAAAAAAGTTAATAATTCTACACAGACAGTCTACGGGCAATGTTGAGGAAAGAGAGTGATCTCAGCTGGGCTTCCCCTCGGTGCGTCATGCTTTTCAGCTCTTTTGAAGTGAATATCTCCCCCCACCCCGTCCCCCATCCCCATCCTGCCATTCTTCAGCCCCCCAGTCTCTTTTTCCCCTTTCTCTCTCTTTTTTTTTTCCTCCCTCCACCTCTCCACACATTTCTATCTTTTGTTTTTATTTCCCCCCTGCTGTTTTCCTTGATAGAAATCTCACTCATGCATTTCCCTTCCGGATTTCTATTGGGTTATTTTGTCCTCTTTTCTCTCCGTGCCTTGGTCCCCTTTTCTTTCTGTGCCTCTTGTCCCAGAGTGAAACAGCCGCCTCCCTGCTGGGTCAGGATGACAGTGCCTTAGCTTTCCCAGTGCCAGCCCTTCCCACATCTGTGCAGCTTTTGTCCCCGGGCAGAGGGGGATTTGGAATGGTCGGTTGGCAGCGCCAGGGAGACTGATATAAAAATGAGGTCCAAAAAAGAGGGGAAAGGGAATTAGGAGGAGGGCGTGAGATGGTTTAAGAGAAGCACAAGTGAAAATAAAATAAAGAAGTAAAGGGCACCGCTCAGGCTGTGAGTTGGGACATTGCGCTGCAGGGACAGGCCAGAGAGAATGAAATTAAAGAATTCTGGTACCATGTTGTGCAGCTAATTATTAACCCCAGTACAACTCAGATGGAGTCAGGGCTCTCCCATGAAATGCTGAATTTGGGACAGTATCCAGGAGAGCACCCTTTGCACTCAGGGGAGCTGTACTTGTCGTCTCCTCGGGGCTGTACTCACAGACTCAGCACTGAGCTCCTCTGTCCTAGCCCTGCTATAGCTTCCTGCTTCACAACAGTTTTCCTTTACCCTTGGCTTATCTCCAGACCCACTCTGCCCCAGTTTTCTTCTCCCTCTCAGGTCATATTCTTCTGAATACTCTCTATTTTACTACCTTTACTTACCTTTCAACAGCTTCTTCAGCTTACCTGGGCAAGTACCGTTATGTCCCATAAAGCCAGACCTGTCACCCTGTTCCACCTTGGCCATACAACCTTCCTTGCTCCAGCCATGAGCAGAAATAATAAATGGCAGTGTCTTCTCTAACACATTGCAAGCCATTCCTGCTTACCTATCACTGAGATGTGGCATTGCTGGAAGCTATGGGGAATTACCTTTATTTTTGAAAGAACAAGATTTTCTCCTAGGAAATGTAAAGGACTCCTTTTCTTCATGTGTATTTCTTTAATTGTCTTTTTAGTTTCTCTGGCATTATCTTTTTTTCCTCTCAACAAGAGGCTCTGCTTATCCCCCTTTATCCTTTGTGGTCCTGGGAGCTCAGGGGTAGTGACTTATTCTTCTTTTTGATAGTCAGGAGTGAACACACAACTGCCAAGTGTGGAGATGAGGATGTGTGGTGGTAGAGTCAGGCTTCATTAAATAATTTACAGTGGCTACTGGGTTTGGAGAGCTGTCATGGCAAGTATGCAGTGTTACACAATGACCTGTGCACTGAGGACTAAGAACACCCTTTCTCATGATGGCAGAAGATGAAATGAAGGAGCTGCCTGCATCTCAGGAGCTCCATGTGTACATTGTTCAAGCAGTGAGGTAAAGATAGGCTGCTCTGATCCATTTTGACACACCCTCAGAGTAAAAGGAGCGTTGAGAGGTTGTGTGTAGGCCTTTGCAAGCAAGTAGTGTGAAATTCCTCAGTTTCAGGTGAGATTTGCTGTAAGCTCTTGAGGATTCTTGAATTTCAAAGTCTCAGTGTGCTGGAGAGAAATACTCATGCGCAGGAAGGAAAAGTCTTGTAAAGTTTTCCTGTTTCCCTTGCTAACTACCCTACACCATCTAACACTGCACTCCAGAGCAGTGGAGAGCAGAATACTATGACAGACTGCAAAGGAAAAGTTGTTTTTTCCAAGTGATATCCAGATCCTAGCCTTTCCATATCACTATAATTCAGCGATGGAATTTGCCTCTATAAATATCTGCCTGTAGTGAATATCAAGGACAAAAGGACATTAACCTAAATGTATTATTTTTTTCCCATTTAACAAAAATCTTTTCTGTTTTTCTTAATCTTACTTTCCTGATCATTGCTAACCAGTAGAGTACAGGATTTGCATATCAATATAAAGACTGCTGGGAATATTCCACCCTGATCTACATTTTGTATAACACTATTAAATGGAGCAGCACAGGGATGTCATTCAGGATGGAATTTGGCTAATTTCAACTTCCTAATGACATTTTCCCTCTAATACCAACAATGGATTTTAACTTGCAATATATCAGGGTTTCCAGTATATCAGCATTTTCAATATACTGTACTTATGTGAACCACTTAATTGAGCAAGGTGAAGAGTGAGAAAATAAACTCCATGAATATTCATTCTCAGTATAATTTAGAGGCTGCTACTCCCTGTTGCTGACACTCCAGCAGCAACCGTGCATCCAGAATTTTATTAGTGCAAGGGCTTACACAAGCAAATGTTACATTGAAGTTTGATATATTTGTGCAGGTTGAACTTTCACTTGGCTTCTTTTATATATTTTTACTGGGAATTTCTCCTAGTAGACATATTTTTTTAGTCATGCAGACAAATGTTTTATGACATACCTGACTATCTTTTGCAGGTCCATCTGAATTGCTGGACATGACAGACAGTGAAACGTAAGTACAGCCTACTCTTTCCTTCATGTTATGTGTGTTAAACTAGCAGACTCTTGGTTTTTAAGTGCAAACTGTTAAAAAGGAAAAAGCTTGTAAAATGGCACAACTCTGGCACAACCCTTCAAAACCAACCAAAGAAACAAGGCCCCTTAAAAACCACACATTGACCATGTCATATTTGGCTTTCTTGCCTAAAACAAACCTTCATTGGATTTTCAGAGGATTTTTTCCCTATTGCTTCCCATGCTTCCTTAATCTTTCTAGAGGAATAGAAGCCCTGCCTTGTGTTTTGATATTGCTGGCCTCCAGCTACTAAGGGACCAACCTGAAGAGTAAATTCAAAGAGTCAGGAAATTACTTTTCTTGCTCTACACGTTTTTTTTTTCAGTCCCTTCTTGATTCATCCAGGGTGCTCTGTCTTAGCTCTCCTAAGTGGCCAGGACTTGTGCGGTTGAAGGTTTCCATCAAGCAGTTAAAACATCAATCAGCTCCCTTCTTATTAAAAAAAAAAAAATAAAACCAACCCCAAAAAATTACTTTCCTTTCCAATTCCCAATTTTTTACACCTTGTATAATCAAAGTTTCATGAAAGTATGTGAGGAAAGCATGAATAATCCTGGAAAATATGTGTAATACATGTAAAATAAACCCAGTCTTTTTCCTAGGGATCAAGCCTACCATTTCTCATCCCACAGTGCCCTCCCCTGCTAACAGAGAACACCTTTTGCACAAGGGGCATGAGTGAAGCCCAGAGGTGGCAGGGACTGGATGGACTGGTCCTTTTCATCCATCCTAGCACAACCCCATCAAGTGTCAGTGAGCACAGCTATGAGGGCTTCCCTTTACAGAGGTTCCTTTACCTCTAACCCTTGGAAAGGGAAGGTTCAAGCTGTAACTGGCAGTATGAATTTGTCTTCTGGTCTTCAGGGGGAAATAGAATGGTATCCTATACTGATACTAGCTCTGATGCAGCAAGGGCATATTGATTAAAAAGTTGCCTCTTAATATTTCAGCATCCCCTGTCATAGATGGGGGCTGAGATTCCTTTATGCACTCTGTGTAGGTAGGTGCAAGATTTGTCCTGCTACATGTATTTCTTGTAATTTGTTATTTCACAGGTTATGTAATGGCCCTACTTGTTGGATACTGGCATTAAGGACTCCTTTTCAACCCACTCAAAGCATGCTTTCATCTCTTCATAGGCAAATCTAGATAGATTTCTTTACTCTCAGTAAAGAGGAAGTTAGTTTTAGTCAGTTCTAGAATCCTGCCAGACTTAGCTCCAGTCAGAGTGAGAAGCTTTGCAACAAATGTGCTCCCACCACACAGTCTTCTCTTCTGGAAAGCATGTATTTAATCTTCCCCAGTAGCTCAGCAGTCCAATGGTGGAAGAACATGAGAGTTCTTGCTCCCATATATCCAAGACAGCGGGGCATTAGAACTGGGGCAGCAAGTGCACCAGTCATAGCTTTGATGGGTAGGATTTTTCTAGGATGGCTCCAAGAATGAGGTTGAGGAAAGAAATTGCAGGAAGAAACAAACCCTGTTGCTGTTTTGCCTGCTGTGAAATAGGAAGGTGGCTAGCTTGCCTTTGCAGCAGTTAACAGAGCTGGTAGTTGCATGGGAATGTGACATTCAGCCCTCTGAATACATAAAGTCTGTCAATGTTTCTTCCCCATCCCTCAGAAGTTCTTTGTCTGCTATTTGTGCATTGCAGGCTTTCCTTCTGAGTCAAAGGATGTAGATGCTAAGGGAGAGAGTGCACAGGCCCTCCTCTGCCAGCAAGAGGGAACCTGACAGAAATGCAGCATCCTGCTGTGTCCATGCTCTGCTCCTCATGCTTCCTAAATGTGCATTGCTGTGCTGTGTCTCACGGTTGCTTTCTGTGCTTTGGTCTAGGGGGGAGACAGCACTACACAAGGCAGCCTGCCAGCGCCACCGCGCCGTCTGCCAGCTCCTGGTGGATGCAGGAGCCTCTCTGAGAAAGACAGACTCCAAGGTAAGGCAGCTCCATCAGCCCCCACCAGCCCCTGTGCTGAGCGAGACCCTGCAGCATCCTCCCTGCTGCTTGTGTGGCTGAGGCTTCTTTGTGTGTGCCAAGGCTCACACAAGGAGCCCCAGCCTTGTGTGTTGCTCCTTTGAAGCAAGCTATTTTTACAGAGAAAACTGTATTGATTTAAACAAACACAAGAGACTTCAGTTCAGTCCCCAACATGGGTCATTGTCAGCACAGTGAGAGCCTGGCCTCAAACTGTTTGGTGCAGTGGGTGTGAATGAGACATCCCCATGGCACAACAGTGTCCTCCTGTGTGGTCAAAAGAGAGGCCTGTGGGCAAGGAACACCTGCAGGAGCCTTGGTTTCTGACTGCACCGCATCTGTGGGGCTTGGTTATTGTGGCTGGCTTGCTTTGTGAGGATTGCTAACTATTTTCTCTTGCCTTGGCTTGCCCCTGTGCTCACTGTTGTGACACTAACTACAGCACTCTCTTGGTGTAAGGTTGACTGAGAAAGAAATCTGGGAAAAATGAAATCCAAGGACTATTCTGTCATTACAACAATCTGATTGCTTAGGAACACGGTCCAGAAGCTGTCTCTCTGGAGTTTCTGAGCACAAGCACCCTGTCAGCAGCTGAGAGTGATTGGCTCTCTGCACTCCAGAGTTAGAAGCACCTTTGCTGCAGCTGGGCAATCAAAACCAATTTCTGCCTTCTTGGGCTCTATGAGGTTGCCTATAATGGGAAGAGAGGCCATCTATGATTCTATCATCTCTTGTTCAGATGGCAGAATTGCACATTGCAAAAAGCTTTCTGAAACAGAAGAAATCCAGTCAAGTGGCTTCTTGTGGAATTTGCAGGAAATCCCGACAAGGGAAAGACGAGAATCTTGACTCCATGCTTCAGAAGGCTGATTTATAATCTTATAATATATATTATATTAAAAGAAAATGATATATTAAAACTATACTAAAAGAATAGAAGAAAGGATTTTATCAGAAGGCCTGCAAGGAGGAAGAATGGAATGATAATAAAATCTTGTGACTGACCAGAGAGTCTGAGACAGCTGGACTGTGATTGGCCATTAATTAAAAACAACCACATGAGACCAATCAAAGATGCACCTGTTGCATTCCACAGCAGCAGATAGTTTTTGTTTACATTTTGTTTCTGAGGCCTCTCAGCTTTTCAGAAGAAATGATCCTAACAAAAGGATTTTCATAAAATATATCCGTGACAGGCTTCTGACTCGTTAATTGGCTTCTGTCTAGAAATCATCTGTTGTTCTCAATGTGTTAGCACAAGAACTTCTCTTCATGTTTCTCATTACAGGGTAAGACCCCTCGTGACAGGGCTCAGCAAGCTGGTGATCCAGATCTGGCCTCCTACCTGGAGAGTCGACAAAACTATCAAATGGTTTCCCACGAGGACCTGGAGACAGCAGTCTGATGTCTGAAAATGTCCCAAAGGATCCCTGGAAATCTCGAGACTGCACCTGAGGCACTACTCAGGCCTCGTGTGAGGAAGAAACTGATGGAACCCACGTGTCTCTCACTCTCGAGGAAAATACCTGAGGACATGCCACCAGTTTCTAAGGGCTACTGAGTCTTGCTGGGAACGTTTATGTTCCATAAGTTAGCCCATGATGGATGAGGTGGGACGCTGAAAGGTCTGTGGAATCCATAGGCCGTGAAAATTTACCTTTATTGCTTACAGCAAGTAGCATGAACTTCTCCCATGTTCATCTGTATAATTTATTAAAAAAAAAAAGAAAAAAAGGAAAGAGTAAAGAGGATGTAGGGGAACAAAATCCAAATGAACTGGTACATTAAGCCACCCAACCAGGCTGTCCTCCATCCTTACAGTTTCCTGCATTGCTTTTATTCTCCTGTTCCCCTCACTTCTCATCAGTTAAATATTACCTGTTATCTCTGTGTTGTCTTCACAAATGGTCAGGCAGTAGCAAAATGTTTGAGGAGCTCTGGATGCCCTTAAGAAATATCCAGTGTTTTTACCAGCTACATTCCCTCCCCTGCCATCCTCTCAGAAGCTGTGTTGTCAGTACTCAGCCCCCACAGAGTTTTCTTGCTTTTGGAGGGGATGTTGCTTATTGCCTTGTTTCCCAGGGTTTGGGCACAGTCATGCTTACAGCAGTGACAAAACCCAAGCTCATCATTGCTGGGCATGCTGGGTTATGGTATCCTCACAAGACAGGCATTTGTATGGAAAGGAGCTCTATGGGATGTACCATGCTGAATGTCAGAGGAGAAAGTCACCAGGAAGGTTTCTCATATCACTTTTTTGCCTGTAATGGCTGACCCAGCTCTTCTCAGGTTTCAGGCCTGCCTAGAAGTTGATAGGTTCTTCAGTTCTTTACTTCTGAAAAGTTGGGTTTTACACTGGGCAGAGATTTGTGCAAAGCTGATGGAATTCTGATGGACTCAGTGACAGACCCAGTCCCCTTTGCATCACAGCCATGGGGGAGGAAGGAGACCTGGAACATCAGCAGCCAGCCTGGGCTCGCTGCTGCCAACAAACACATGGGCACTGGCCTGGTCACATTGGGAATGGCAAAACCTCCTTTGGCTGAATCTGTAAACTGTCTGATTCTTCAAGGGAGCCAAGTTTTGGGGAGTCTGTCCCTGGAGAAAGACAAGCAGCAGCTCTTTGCCTTGTTACCCACAATAGGTTTGAAATGTAAAGCTTAGCTGCTGTAAAGGCCAGCTGTGTCTTCTGTACTCATCTGTTCTCTGTCTTACAACCATAAAAGAAGAGAAAGCAAACAAATACACAGGCATAAATAAAATGTTTCATTGTTGGGTTTCCAATTGCTACAGATATCTCAGTTGATAATATAGCAGAGCTTCCACTTCTACTTTGTCAGACCAGTGCCCATGAAGATGCTCATGGCTGACTTTTGGCATAACTCTTGCAATACATTTTTGAATTTTGCTTTGTTATTCTATTTGAAAGATCCACAACTGTTTGTTTTCACATCCCTTGCTAGGGGTACCTCTCTGATAAATGATGATCATTGGGGTTACATACATTTGGAAACCATGAAAATAACTCAGGTCATTATTCAGATATGTTTTTCTTCTTTGGTAGAAGTGGAGAAAAATCAAATGAAAGCAATTTTTTTTTTAAGCACGAGTGATTGTTGTGGTAGGGAGGGGGGGAGCTAAATAATATATTTTAATTTTTTTTCCTGTTTTCAAAAGTTCATTTGATATGGGCAAAATATTTCTTTAGTATTTCTTCCTCTGGAAGGAAACTATATATATTTGTAATCTATAGATCAATGGCGACATGAAATGTATTTTGTCTTATTTTCTGTCTTTACCTTTCTCATTTAAAAAATAAAATATGAAAGCCAAATTACTTCCCTTGATAATTATCCAGGGGCTTGTGGAGAAAGTAAGTATGTGTATATATTAGAACAGAATTTGGCAACTGTTAAAATAAAAACTCAGAATATAGTTTTGGTGTATGTGATATTTCCACAAGGAAAGATCCTCACACTGTGGTTTCATGGTAGGCCTTGCATCATTTCCCAGCTGTGAGAAAATACATTAATGTAATATTTCTATATATTTGATGAAAACAAGAATGATGTTATCATCACTTTAATATTTTGGTTTGCCTACTGGTCTGAGAAATGGAGGAATTTTCAATAGCACAGGAGCTTGGCTCTGTCCTGTGCTGAGGCCAAGCTGAGAATGGTCACTGAGCCTGGGAGAGCTCCCTGATCCTTTAGTCCCATGAAGCGGCTTGCTTTCATCACAGGTAGCCTCCAGAGGTTGGATGTGGGTTATGATAAGGGAGCTGCTTCTGGTCCCTCTGTCCTCAGTTGTCCTCCCCTTGTCAGCTCATCCCTGTGCCCAGGAGGTGCCTGCAGCTGTGGCTGGCTCTGGAGCAGCTGGTCAGGATGGGCAGATTTCCTGAGCAATTTTGTGCCATTTGGACTGCCCAGAGGAGCTCAGAGCACGCAAGAGAGCGTGGCTTGCCTTTCTCACTGAAAGCTGGAGTACAGTGGTACGATCAGAGTGAGCTGTTGTGTCTCTGGAGAGCTGCCTGTGCTGTGTGATAAAACAGCCCCCAGCACTGGAGGTAGGGCAGGAATGGGCTGGATGTGGTGCCTGTGATGTTCAATGTGTCCTGAAGCACTGCACATGTGATGCACTAGGTACTGCTGATGTTTGGTATCTGCAGGTAACAGCACATCTGTTGTTTTCCATAATGATTCATGTGTGGCAAGGAATATCAGAAGTTGGTTCACTGAGGGCAGTTTGGGACCAGGACTGTTCCTTACCCTTTTCAGGTGTGGTGGCATTACCAGAAGCAGCAGGCTCTGCAGTAAAGGTAACACATTTGTATTGAATCTCTGGAGCACTTGGGGTCTAGGTTAGTACAGTACAGCTGTGCCTGCACTGGGCAGGGCCCAAATTCCAGTGTGCAGCTGGGAGTCCACTTAAATTACATGTAAAGCATTTCAATTAACTAAAGCATCTGTTCAGTGGCTGTTAATGTGTGTATATTACTAAATATATATGTATATTTATAAACATCAGTATGCATGTATATAGGTGCATACATACACATGCAAACACACTTGAAATTGTGTCATTTGAATGACAAAGCCCTTAGGGATGCTCAGCTACTGAGATTGCTGGATTGACAAAATGTCATTTTCCATTTTAATTTGTTATTAAAGGGAACCTTTTTCAGTAGGAATGTGGAGCTCCCGAATTGTTCCCTTGTACTGGTTTTACCATCTCATTTTGGAGCTAAATGGAGGGCAAGAAAGTATTTCTAATGTTGATAAAATAAACTTAATTTTGTAATTTAATTCAATTACTCTTATTATTTCATGTTTCAATGCTAGAGGTACCTTTTTTGTGTTATTCCAGACATGATGATGTCATACATTTTTTACTTATTATAGCATAGAAAGGCAATGGGCAGGGACACCTTGCACTAGACCAGGCTGCTCAGAGCTCCATCTAAGCTGACCTTGAACACTTCCAGGGATGGGTTCATCCACAACTTCTCTGGGCATCCCTCAATGCTGTGAGGCTGAGTTTTTGCTTATGTAAAACAGGGGTTCAAGGCAAATTTTGCCTGTTACAAAACTGGTGTCAGACTCCAGTGGATCTTTCACCATTTCATGTGGTGTCTTGCTTGTCTGTGTTTTAGCACTTTAAGATGTCTGTAGGTGTTTTTACTGAAAACCAAGGTGTTTTCACTCTTGTTTTTCCCCAGCAGCAGTAGAATTGCTCAGTCCCAACTCATGGTGCTCTAGCCTAGATTCAGTCTACACAAGATGTCCCCTGCTGCATGAGGACTGTCATACAGAGGGACCAGAGACAAAGAAAATAGTACAAAATTAATGTTTTGTTGCCACTGATCTTCCCAGGTGTATTTGCTGAGCTGGTGCTGTTGTGTAAGAATAGATGGGGCACATGGTTTTTCTGGTGGTGTGGCTGTGGGAGGTTTGTTTCAGTAATATTTCATGGCTCTTTGGCTCATTTCTGTCTTTGTCTTTGCTGTGAAACATATGGTAGTGAAATTTTCTAACACAAATTCATCTAGAAGGTGGCTGTTTCCCTTTCAGCCATCCTAGATGCCTTCTGTGGGACTTGTTTATGTGTTGACCCTTCCAGGATGACAAAAGTATGACATGATCTGTCTCTGGGGTATGAAATGGGCAAGATACATTGGTAGCCTCAAGTTTTCTGGGAGTTTAATAGTACTCAAGAAATGTATGGGCATGCTGGAAATTTGAATGCCTTGAAAAAACTCCAAGGAAATTCTGTCCTTGTACTGTTTGTACTATAGGAAAAAAGAAGTTCCTTGTGCTGATCCATTTGAGGTGTGTCATTTGGCTTCTCCCACTTTTTGCTTTTTTTGCACCAAACTAATATCTATAGAGAGGTATTTTATAAGACTTGTTTTTAAGATTGCTAAAAGTAACATTTTGACCTCCATTTTACCTATTCTTTTCCATTCATAAGATAATGTTTCCTCTTTTTATTTTTCTCAGTGAGTCTGAGCCAAAATGACACGGGGTTATTAACTTCTTAATTAGTCTAAAACATCCAATGTGACTATATTTGGACATTTCAGCTGTCCTGGAAACAGCTTATATTCCTGTGCCTTTCTGGATGCATGTGAAGCTGTAGGAAACAGTATTAGAGTGCTCATTGTGGTACTCATCATCTCATTTTCCTTTCTTAACAACTATTTTTTTTTTTTAGCAGCCTTAAATTCCGTGATCTGCCTGCCAAAATCTGCTGATTGCAACAGCAGCTCAGTGATGCTCTGCAAGCTACTCCAGGTGGCCATGGCAAGTGACCATGGCTGCTTTTAGTGCAGGTTCTGCCATGGCTTTGGACTTCTCTGGAGTGAGATCCCCTGCAGGTACCAGAGCTCAGGGTTTCCCCTCCCTGGCTGTTCCCAGCACTGCTGCCCGTGGTGGTGCCCACAGAGGGTGGTGTTCTCCCATCCCCTATAAATGTGCACTGCAGCAACACCCCCTACCTTGGCCAAGGAATTTCCTGGCCCACGTATGGAGCCATTTGTGCAAAAGGGGAAAATTCCCTCCCCGGGGCCCTGATCACACCAGTAAATTCATTACATTTGACTTCAGTGATTAGGCAGGCTTGGAGCTGAATAACCTTACTGTATTCAGCCATCAGAGTGCATCTTGTCTCCTGCCTTATTTATAAGGTGCCACATTCCAGTCTCAGCTGCAGTTTCTTGTTTCCCTGACTGATTTAAAAAAAAAAAACAACAACAAAAAAACCCCAAACCAAGAGACAAAAAACCAATCTATCCTTTGCAGTACATGTGCATTTAGTTACCCAGAGAGTGGGGAAGGCAGGAAGATCATTTAAAAATCTCCTCATTCTGATGTAGCGCATCATGACTTCCAAAATCTGAGCAAGGAGAAGCCTTGCAACAAAAGCATTTTTTTCAATATTAACACATCTATATTTCAGGAAATAATTTGATGCTAAGCCCTGTTAAAACAGTCAGCTTATGCTCTTAGATCTCCTATGTGCCAGAGATTTGGGGAATCTAAGGAGGCAGTAATCCTCTTGACAGGCACATAAAGATAGGTGAATGCTCAAAAAGGCATAAAATCACCTTTCTTCAAAAATCTGTTTCTATTTTGCCACTCTTATCTACTAGAATCAGAATCCCGATTTGGGAATGCTATTTCGGAGTTCAGCAATATTTTAACAGCCTCAGCATTCATTTGCAAAGTGTATAGAAGCTGTAGCATTTTGAAGTGGAAGAAAAAAAGCAGTATTTCTTTAAGCAATATAATAGTACATATGTAATTGCCTCATCTCTCGCCAGCCTCCTTTTGCTGGTGAAGTGCCACACCTGGCTCTTCAATTAGTCCCTGTCTGGGAGGCTGCTTGATGTGTAGCCCAGCACTCAGCGAAGTGTGCACTATGGCAATCCAGTGCCAAAGTGCTGCTGCAATTACCTAACTACTAGCACATGAAATTCATTTCTTAGTGTTGCACTTCATTTTAATGAGAAAAATGCCCTTCTGATTCCAGCTACCTTGGTGACCTTCAATTTCCACTCTTTCCCTCAAGCTGTGGTCAAGAAGAGGTAGAAGGTAATCTCTGTTCCTACAGAATCCAAATCCTGTTTAGGAACTCTACAAATCACTTAGTTTTTTAGGTGTGGAGAAGAAGCTCAAGAAGCTCTTGAGTCTGATGCAGCAGACATGAGTGATTTCTACTTGGCTAATTAGGCTTTAATAAGCAGCCCCACTTTTCTAGGGCTGCTTTTCCTGCGTGACATTCACATAAAAAAATGAAAGATGACAAAATTAGAAAAGCAAATTAAGCTGGCTCCTGGGAATGGGGAATTCTAAAGATTGGCTTCCACATGCATTGCTCTTTTCTAGATTGGGAGTTGCAATGCTGTAATGAGTCATTATGTATCATAATTAGATATAGCTAATTATGATAGTGAGGTGGGTGCTCACTGTGTCCAATATTTATGTCACCCAGATGCAGAGGTATTCCTGCCCCTGTAGAGATCACCAGACAGCCTGGAGGGGGAACAGCCCTCTGTTTGCAAACTTGAGGCTTTGTGAAGTGAGATGTGAGCCCCAAGGTGAGCAAGGCCACCCCTCCCTGCTCCTCAGCCATGCTGGAGGCTTTCCTTCCAAATGGATGGAGGCAATGCCACACCAAAATGAATGTTTGCTGTAGGTCACAAAGTGAATTAATTGCTATCTTTCTTCTCATGTCCCCTGCTTCAGCCCCTTTCCAGGGACATTTTTTTCCCCTTTATCAGAATGGGAAGTCTGTTGATGAATGGAAAGTCTGTTGATGTGCCTGTATTAACAGAAGTTGGGTGCAGTTGTGGTTGTTGTCTGTGGTCTTGCTACTCTTGTAATCCTTATCTGCATGGCACAGGGGAGAAGTAGGTTCCTGTCAAAGCTAAGGAA